GCCGGCGGCGGACGCGGCGTCGCGCACGGCCGTGAAGGCGAAGGCGTCGAGCGCCGCGTCCCGGGGCAACCCGAGGCGCGCCGCGAGCGCGCCGAGCGCGACGGCGCCGTGCTTCGCGCGCGCCGGCGCCGGCGCGAGCTCCGCGGCCACGCGGGTGACGGCCGCGCCGGCGGCCAGCGACGCGCGGTGCGCCGGCGCCGTCGCCGCGAGGAGCGCCCCCAGGCCCGCGTCCAGCGCCGCCGCGTCGCCGCCGCCGTGCGCCGCGGCGAAAAACGGAGCCTGGACGGCCGCGTGCGACGCGAGCAAAACGTCGAGGAACCGGAGCGCCGCGGCCTCGTCGCCCGGCGGCAGCAGGCCGAGCTGGAAGGCCGCCTCGACGCCGCCCGAGTGGGCGAAGCCCCCCGTCGGCAGCGCCGAGTCGACGAGCTGCGCGAGCGCGAGGCGCTGAGCGCGGCGGAGCGGCGCGCCGCCGTCCGCGTCGGCGGCGGCGGGCCGCCGCTCGGTACACGTCCGCGGCCGCGCCGCCGCGCCGAAGCCGCCGACGGCGTGGATGCGGTCCGCGTAGGGCGCCTCGCCGAGCTCGCTCGCCAGCGGCTCGAGGCACGCGCGGAGCACGCGGTACGCGTCGTCCGGCGACTCGGCGACGAGGCGCGCGACCGTCGCGCCGCCGCCCGCGTCGCCGACGCCCATGACGACGGCGCCCTCGAGCGCGAGGCGCCCCGCGGACGCGGGCCCCTTCTCCAGGCGCCGCGCGCCGCGCCGCGCCGCGAGGTCGCCCGCGACGCCGCGCGTCGCCGCCGCCGCCGCCGCGGCCCGCGGCCCGACGAGCACCAAGGACGCGGCGACGTCGTAGGCTTCCGTGGTCGTATCGACGTCGAAGCGCGCCGCCGGCCCGCCGAGGCGCAGCGCGTCGACGATCTCCGCGCCGCCGACGACGTAGCGGCTCCGGGTCGTCGCGGCGTCGAAGGCCCAGCGCTCGCCGTTCGCGGCGCGGCCCGCGCCGAGCCAGTCGACGACGGCGACCGACGCGCCGTCCGCGAGCTCGAAGCGCTGCGTTTGCGTGTACGTCGAGGCGCGGAAGGGCGTCACGGCGTCGGGCGTCGACACGAGCAGCGCTCCTGAGCCGACGGACGCCTCGAGCGTCTGGCTCGCGCCGGCGGGGCCCTTGTAGACTTTCGTCGACGCCTGCGTGCCGAGGTGCAGCGTCGCGCCGTCCTCGACGACGATCTCGAAGTCGAGCGCGTCGCCGCTCAGCAGGCCGCCGCCCAGCGAGCTCAGCACGCAGCGCGCCGCGCCGACGCTCGCCGCTGCGGCCGTTTTCAGCGGCAGCAGGCGCGCGGGTGCTTTGTGCGCGATGCGCGTGAGCACCGTCTTCTGCTGCACGACCTCGGCGGTGATGCGCGCGAAGCCGTGGCGCACGCGGTCCATCTTTTCGTAGCGTGGTGTCGTGTGCTCTTAAGCCTCTCGTATGCGTAGCTTGGTGTTGCGTTTTTAAGCCTCCGCGTGCAGTCTCGACGCTCTCAAACGCCTGCCATCTCGCAGCACAGGGCAGGCAACAACTCCAGCTCACGGCAATATTCGGCGAGCGCTGCAGCGCGCTGCGGCAACACCAGCCTCGCCCCGACCTCGACCAACATGCTCGCGCTCCGCGCGCTGCGGCGCGCCGCCGCGACGCGCATCGCCGCCGCGCGCACGCGCGCGGCCCACTCCCACAGCCACGAGCACTACGACCACCCCGGGTCCTTCGGCGCGCGGGACACGGGCCTGCCGGCCTTCTGGGCGACGCGCGACTGGGCGTCGCGCGCCTTCACCGTGGGCATCGGCGGCCCCGTCGGGTCCGGCAAGACGGCGCTGACGCTGGCGCTCTGCCGGCGCCTCCGCGAGGAGCGGTCGCTCGCCGTCGTCACGAACGACATCTTCACGCGCGAGGACGCGGAATTCCTCGCGCGGAACTCCGCGCTCGCACCGGACCGCATCGCCGCCGTCGAGACGGGCGGCTGCCCCCACGCGGCCATCCGCGAGGACGTGTCCGCGAACCTCGAGGCGCTGGAGGCGCTCACGGCGACGCACGCGGGCGTCGAGCTCCTGCTCTGCGAGTCCGGCGGCGACAACCTCGCGGCGCACTTCAGCTCGGAGCTCGCGGACTTTAGCCTCTACGTCATCGACGTCGCCGGCGGCGACAAGGTGCCCCGCAAGGGCGGGCCGGGCATCACCCAGTCCGACGTCCTCGTCATCAACAAGACGGACCTCGCGGAGGCCGTCGGCGCGGACCTCGGCGTCATGGACCGCGACGCGAGGAAGATGCGCGGCGACGGGCCGACGGTCTTCGCCTCCGTCAAGCGGGGCGACGGCCTCGAGGCCATCGTCGACGAGGTCCTCGGCGCGCTGGACCGCGCGACGGCCGCGGCGGCGTAAAGAAGTGCGTAAAGGGCCAGGCTAACGAAGCGGTTCACGGTGCAAACTCGTTCCAAGGGGCGAGGGCAGCCCGGTCGACCGGTCGAGCGCGTTGGCACCGGCCGGCGTCGCGACGATGCTGGCCCACATCCGCCAGGAGGAGTCGGTGGACACGGCGGCCAGCAGCGACCGGTCCATCTTCAACCAGCTGGCGGCGCGCAAGCGGCAGAGCATGGCGCGGACGCGGCCGCAGAGCGCCAACTTCCGCCTCCGCCGCGGCGACGGCGACGACGGCGAGTCCGAGGGCGAGAGCGAGGGCGGGGGCAAGGCGGCGCTGCCGCCGCGGCCGTCGTCGGCGCTGCCCGCCGCGTCGGCGCCGCAGCAGCCGGAGAAGTTCCGCTGGAGCCGGCGGCCGTCGACGCGCGAGTTCGCGGACGGCGGCGACGAGCGGCCGGAGAAGTTCCGCTGGAGCCGGCGGCCGTCGTCGGCGACGCCCGAGCCCGAGCCCGAGCCCGAACCGGCCGCGACGCCCTACAAATTCCGGCGGCCGTCGTCGGCGACGCCCGCGCCGGACCCCGCGCCGAAGACGCCGTTCGTCTGGAAGAACGGGCAGATGGTTCCCACGGAGGCCACGGAGGAGCAGTTCCGCTGGCGGAAGAAGGCGGACGCCGACGAGCTGCCGGCCGTCTCCGCCGCCGACGGCGCCGCGCCGGGCATCATCACGCAGCTCGGCCAGCGGCGGCGCCAGTCCATCGTCGCGCAGGGCCTCGCGCCGCCGGGCGTCGACCGGGGCTCGTTCCTCCGGGGCGACCGCGGGACGCCCAACTTCGCCTACGCCAAGGCCATCGCCAACGGCGAGGACGTCGAGGCGCCGAAGACGACGGTCTTCCGCCAGCGCGACTGGAGCGGCGCCGCGCCGCCCGCGGACGCTCCGGGAACGCCGCGCGGCGAACTATGCGTCGTCGCGCGCGCGCTCGCGGCCGCGGCCGCGCGGCGGGACCGGGCCGCGCGCGGCCGCGGCTTCTGGGCCTTCGCGAGGCACCACTACGCGACCCGCGACCGGGCGACGGCCCGGGCGCTCCGGGAGCGCGACGCGGCGCTCCGCGCGGCGCTCCGGGAACGCGACGGCGCGTTCGCGGACCGCGACGCGGCCAAAGACGCGCTCGGCGAGAAGGACGCCCAGCTCGCCGAGCGCGACGCCCTGCTCGTCGAGCGCGACGCGGCGCTCGACGTCTTACAGAAGGCCGCGGCGGCGAGCGGCGACGGCGCGGGCGAGGCCGCGTACCTCAAGAGCGCCCTGGTCGCCGAGAAGGAGGCCGCGGCGAAGGAGCGGGCCGCGCACGAGCGGACCAAGGGCGCCCTCGACGACCTGCGGCGGTCGGCCGCCGCGGACGAGTCGACGGCGCGCGCCGCGCTCAAGGTCGCCGAGGGCGCGCGGCGCGACGCGGACGCGGAGGTGGCGAGGCTCCGGAGGCGCGTCGCGGACGCCGCCGGCGGCGGCGGCGGCGACGACGCGGGGCTCGCGGAGCTCCGCGAGAAGCTCGCGGCGAGCGACTTTTCGCGCGCCAAGGCCGAGGAGGACCTCCACGCGGAGCGCGGCGCCCACGAGAAGACGCGGTCGCGCCTCGACGGCGCGCTCGCGTCGCCCGCGGCGTCGCCGTCGAAGGGCGCGGCGCCCGACGCGTTCGACGCCGACGAGGACCCCGCGGAGGCGCTCGCGCGCGAGCGCGTTGACCACGACGCGACGCGCGCAAAATTGCAAAATGCGACGGCGCGCTCCGCCGAGGAGAAGATCTCGCTCCAGGAGCGGCTCCACGACGAGCGGCGGCTCCACGGCGAGACGCGGCGCGCGCGCGACGAGGCGCTGCGCGCGGTCCAGGCGTCGCGGCACCGCACGGAGGCGCTCTCCGACGACGCGACGATGCGCGACGGCGTCGAGGTGCAGTACCGCGTCGTCGTCGCCGAGCGCGACGCGCTCCGCGACGAGCGCGACGCGCTCCGGGCGGACCGCGACGCCGCGGACGGCGAGACCGCGGCCGCGGCGCGCGACCACGAGCGGCTGCTGCGGCGCCTCGACGCGGCGCTCCGCGACGCCGAGGCCCACGGCGCCGCGCGGAGCGCCGCCGAGCGCGAGCTGGAGCGGCTGCGGGCCGCCGTCGCCGCGCGGCCCGCGGCGCCCGCGGCGGCGCCGCGCCGCGCGGCGCCGCCGTCGCCGCGCGAGGCGGACCCGCCGGCCGAGGCGCCCGTCCCCGAGGTCGCCGACGGCGCCGACGCCGCGCCGCCGCCGCGCGCGAAGACGCCGAAGCGGCTCTTCGACGTCCCGAGGCCGCAGCCGTCGCTGTCCAAGTTCCGGCCCGGCGCGATCCCGACCTACACGCCCAAGACGATGCGGCTCAGCGACGAGGAGCTCCTGACGAACATCATCGGCGAGGAGCTCCTGCGCGTCCGCGCGGAGTGCGCGGGGCTCGGCCGCGCGACGTGGACCACGCCCCTCCAGCTCGACAGGGCCGCGCCGCGGCCCAAGAGCGCGACCGCGGGCAAACTCGGCTCCAAGAGCGCGACGGGCCGCCGGACGCGGCGCGCGCGGCCCCAGAGCGCGCTCGCGACGACGCCGGCCCGGCGGCCGCGCGCCCTGCCGCGGACGGCGGGGGACTACGTATGCCCCTAACACCTATAATAGTTCGAAGACGACCTGCTTCGTCAGGAGCGACGCGGCGACGACGCGCGCCCGGAGGCCGAACGCGGCGACGGCCTCGTCCCAGGCGCGCTTCTCGTCCTCCCGCCACGTCGCGTGAACCAGAAAATCGTCGAAGACGACGACGCAGCCCGGCGCGAGCTTCGGGCCCAGCGCGGCGAGCACGTCGCGCGCGGAGCTGTACAGGTCGCAGTCGAGGTGCACGAGGCCGAGTTTGTCCGCGGCGGGCGTCGCCGCGAAGGGCCCCGCCGTGTCGGCGAACCAGCCCCGGTGGAGCGTGGCGCGCGCCGGGTAGGGCGACGCCGCGCCGTCGAGGGCCGCGTCCGCGTCGAGGCCGCGGTCGCCTGTGTGGAAATCAACCAGTGAGCTGGGACGTCGGGGCCAAACTTCAGAACTCTCTATCTCGGTCAAGTTGACGTCGATTCGGCTGATTTTTGGACGAATCGATTGCTCTCATCGAGTTCTCGAAGCACAGCGGAAGTGCTCGTGTCAAAACATTCGAATACGCTCACATTGAAGTCGAGTTGAAGATTTGATTTGCACACAGGCGGTCGCCGAGCACGGAGTAGGACCCCGCGGCCTCGTGCGCCCAGGCCTCGGGCAGGCCCACGAAGGAGTCGAAGCCGTGGAGCTCCCAGTTCTCCGGGAGCTGCGCGTCCAAGAGGCGCAGCGAGCGGCCGTGGTAGATGCCAAACTCCGCGCACGCGCGCGGCGCGCCGGCCGCGTTCGCCGCCGCGGCCGCCGCCGCGACGGACAGACAGTGGGAAGTAGAAGCACTGGCGGCTTCCCGGGCGTCGAAGCCCTCCGCGTCGAGCCACGCCAGCGACTCGGCGAGGCAGGCCGCCGCGGGCGCGCAGCGCGACAGGTCCGCGGCGAGCGCCGCGCGCTCCGCGTCGCCGACGTCGAGGCTCGCCGCGCGCAGGAGCGCCGCGCGCGCGGACTCCGGCTCGGCCTGTCGCGCCGCCGCGAGGGACGCCGCCCGCTCGTCGTCGTCCCGCGTCGTCATGGCCAGGCCCAGCAGGCTCACGGCGTTGCCCGGGTCCAGGTTTTGGGCCGACCGCCACGCGGCGGCCGCGCCGTCCCGGTCGTCCAAGCCGTCGAAGAGCGCGTGCGCCTCCCGCGCGAAGCAGTAGGCGACCTCGACGGGCTCCGTCAGGTGGGGCCGCGCGCGCCGGAACGTCGCGAGCGCCGCGGCGTCGTAGCCGAAGCGCTCGAAGGCCTCGGCGGCGGCGAAGATTTCCGACTCTTTGAGCCGCGCCGCCTCCTCGGACCGGCGCGTGCGGAACCAGCCGACGACGGCGATCCGCGGCCGCTTCGAGGCGAGGACCTCGTGGGGCGTGCGATCCGACGACATGACGACGAGCGTGCCGCCCCGGGGCGACACGGCGACCGTCGCGCCGCCGGGCCCGTCGACGACGAGCGCGCCGCCGTCGCGGTCCGCGTCCCAGTCCCGCGGGTTCAAATAGAGCAGTACGCTGTACTCGCGCCGCTCCTGGAGCGCGAAGTTCGTCGCGCCGGACCGCCCGAGCTCGTAGTAGACGCCGCGCGGCACGTCGACGTGCTTCCTGTAGAAGCCGCCGGTCTCGTAGAACGCGTAGCCGAGCTCCGTCGCGAAGGGCAGCAGCGCGGCGCCCGAGCTCGCCGCGAGCGCGACCCGCAAGTCTTCCACGCGCGCGTTGAGTTTTCGCCGCGCGGCGACGTCGCCGCAGGCGACCGGCGGCGGCGGCCGGAGCCAGCACGTCTCGCCGGCCCGCGTCTCCTCCGCGAGGCCGTTCGACGACACGAGGTCGCCGGCGGCGTCGACGCGGCGGCTCCCGACCTTGGACGCGACGAAGCGGCCCTCGGCGCGCTGCTTCATGGCGTCGCCGCGGAAGGCGTCCGCGTCCGATTCGCTGAGCCAGTCCTCGACGACGACGAAGCCGTCGCCGGCGAGCGCCGCGAGCGCGCCCTCGGGAAGCACGTAGGGCGCCGGCGCGCGGAAGTGGTTCGGCTTTTCCGGTCGCGGTGGCGCCCGGGCGACGGGCGGCGGCCGCACGGCGACGCTCAGCGCCTCGGCGCCGCGGCAGAGGAACAGCCCGGCGAGGACCGCGAGTGTGTGTGTAGGGTGCGGTGTGGTCAGGCGGCGGCTGTCCGCGCTATTTGCTTGTTCGTTTTGCGCCATCGTTGGCATCGCGACGCCGCGACGTCGGTGCGAGGCCAGCCCGAACGTCTCGCGCGTCACACCATCGCGCGGTGCAAGGTCGACGGGAAGGCGACGCGACGGTGCTCTCCGAAGCCTCCAGCATGAGCGACGACGCCCTCGAGTCCAAGCTGGCGGCGCAGCTCGAGTTCTACTTCAGCGACGCGAACGTGCGCCGCGACAAGCACCTGGCGTCCATCATCGGCGCCGGCGACGCGACGATGCGCGGCTGGATGCCCCTCGCGGACCTCGTCGGCTTCCGGCGCGCCGCGGAGCTCCTGGAGGCCACGGACGCGTCCGCGCGCCTCGACGCCGCGCGGCGGGCCGTGGCGCGGTCGCCGGCGCTCGAGCTCGACGGCGGCGGCGGCCGCGTGCGGCGGACGGCGCCCTACGAGGCGGCCGACGACGCGACGATCGCGGCGCGCACGGTCTACGTCGAGCCCCTGGACCCGGCCGTCGACGACCACGACGCCGTGCGCGCGCGCTTCGCCGCGTGCGGGCGCGTCGTCCACGTCGCGCTCCCGACGGGCGCGGACCGCGCGCGCCGCGGCTTCGGGTTCGTCGAGTTCGCGGACCGCGCGGGCGCGCGCGCGGCCGTCGAGCGCTGCGACGGCGCGGCCGCGCGGCCCGGCGCGCCGCCGACGAAGGTCGTCACGAAGCTCGAGTGGGCCGCGCTCCGCCGGCGCTGGAACGACCTCTTCCACAACCCGACGTTCGCGCAGGCGCGGCGCCGCGCGCGCCAGGAGGCCGAAAGCGGCGCCCCGGCGCCGCCGCCGGGGGCGCCGCCGCCGAAGCGCACGAAGATCGTGCCCGGCGCGCGGCGGGCGTCGTCGTAACGCGCGTCGGCTTTTCCCCGCTTAGACCTTGGCGATCCCCGGGGAGAGGTAGGCCGGCGCGCAGCCGCACCACGCCTCGTACCCCTGCGCGGGCGCGGGCGACGCGCAGGTCACGCCCGCGTCGCCGAGGGAGAATGGGGCCTCGTCGGGCACGAGCTCGAGCCCCCCGTTTCGTCGTCGGTCCTCGTCGTCCGCGGACTTGGCCTCGTCGGGCCCCGGCCCGCCGGGCCCGTGGCCCACGGACGACGCGCGGTCGTTGCCCCGCCGCTTCATCTGGTCCACGAGGAGCAGGAGGTCGTCGGCGTCGAGGGACCCGGACCCGTCCGCGTCGAGCTCGTCGAACTTGTTCGAGTAGAGCGCGAGCTTGTCTTGGTCGAGCGCCTCCATGGCCACGAGCATGCCGATGACGAACTCCGCCTTCTGGACGCCGTCGCCGTCCATGTCCATGGCGAGGATGCGGTCCACATCAAAATCGTTGAGCAGCCGCTCCTCCGTGACCTGCTCCGTGTACGTCGTGTAGACGTTCGACAGGTTGCTCAGCGCGGCCGCGACGATGACCACGGAGAGGACGATGTAGACCGTCAGGAAGACCTGGACGTCGCCCTCGCAGCCCAGGTCCAAATCGCCGTAGCCGATGGTCGTGATCGTCGCGAAGGACCACCAGAACGCGTCCCACTCCGTCCACGCCTTGCCGCAGCTCCGGACGTGCGTGTGGCTGAAGAAGGCGGCGCCGACGAAGAGGGGGATGAGCACGAGGAAGACGCTGAGGCTCACCTTGGGCCAGACGGGCTCGACGATGGACTTTGCCTCCTTTTCGGTCCGCGACCGGTTGAACCGCTCGAGGATGTTCCGCTCGAGGTAGTCGACGAGCCATTGGCCGAGCTCGAGCACGACGGGGAAGACGACGGCGACGCCGACGAGGGCGTAGAACATGGCGAAGGCCTTGCCGCCGTCGGTCCGCGGCGTGATGTCGCCGTAGCCCACCGTCGTGTACGTGACCGTCAAGAAGTAGCAGCTCTCCTTCAGCGTCCACTCCTCGGGGCCGAACCCAAAGTAGAGCCAGCCGATGAGGTAGTAGGCGAGCACCTGGCCCACGAGCGTGCACCGCCGCACCCAGCCGTGCATCTTCCCGTGCTCGTCGACGACCATGCGGTGGCCCCCGGACACCTGGTGGACGATCTTGTCCATGCCCCCCTTCTTCACCGACGACCGCCGCTTCCCGGCGACGGGGGGCGCCATGTTCTCCCCGTCGGCGCACCGGCCCGGAGCACGCGACGGCCCCCGGCCCCCGGGAACCCGTTTACGCTCCCCGCCGCCGCTCCCGTGGTGCCGCAGCCCACCTCGGACACGGTTAGAGTAGTTCACCAAGTTCTCCCCAGCACGGTAATCCCCACGGACTTGCAGACAAAATCCTATAGCGCGCTCGCAGCTGGCAGCCTCCACACCACTCATTAGCTTCTCGCTCGCTGTCAAAAACACCCACCGTGCGTCGCGCGCAGCCCCCCCGGCGCCGTCCCCGCCCCCCGGAAACGGCCCCGCCTCCGCCCCGCCGCGCCCCGGACGCCCCCGACGCCCGACGCCCCCAAAAATCACAGGTCAAAAACAATGTCTGCCGATGATGAGGATGTCCAGGCGCTCGTGGTCGACAACGGCTCGGGCATGTGCAAGGCCGGCTTCGCCGGCGACGACGCCCCGCGCGCCGTCTTCCCGTCCATCGTCGGCCGCCCCAAGCACCCCGGGATCATGGTCGGCATGGACCAGAAGGACGCCTACGTCGGCGACGAGGCCCAGTCGAAGCGCGGCGTCCTCACGCTCAAGTACCCCATCGAGCACGGCATCGTGACGAACTGGGACGACATGGAGAAGATCTGGCACCACACCTTCTACAACGAGCTCCGCGTCGCGCCCGAGGAGCACCCCGTGCTCCTCACGGAGGCGCCGCTCAACCCCAAGGCGAACCGCGAGCGCATGACCCAGATCATGTTCGAGACCTTCAACGTCCCGGCCATGTACGTCAACATCCAGGCCGTCCTCTCGCTCTACGCGTCCGGCCGCACGACGGGCTGCGTGCTCGACTCCGGCGACGGCGTCTCGCACACGGTGCCCATCTACGAGGGCTACGCGCTCCCCCACGCGATCGTGCGCCTCGACCTCGCGGGCCGCGACCTCACGGACTACATGATGAAGATCCTCACGGAGCGCGGCTACTCGTTCACGACGACGGCCGAGCGCGAGATCGTCCGCGACATCAAGGAGAAGCTCACGTACATCGCGCTCGACTTCGACCAGGAGATGAAGACGGCCGCCGAGTCGTCCGCGCTCGAGAAGTCCTACGAGCTCCCCGACGGCAACGTCATCGTCATCGGCAACGAGCGCTTCCGCTGCCCCGAGGTGCTCTTCCAGCCCTCGTTCATCGGCAAGGAGGCGTCGGGCATCCACGACTGCACGTTCCAGACTGTGCGCCTCGCCGTCCAATCCAACGCTGCGCGCGCGCTCACCCCGCCTCCCCTCGCAGATCATGAAGTGCGACGTCGACATCCGCAAGGACCTCTACTCGAACATCGTCCTCTCCGGCGGCACGACCATGTACCCGGGCATCGGCGAGCGCATGACCAAGGAGCTCACGGCCCTCGCGCCCTCCACGATGAAGATCAAGGTCGTCGCCCCCCCGGAGCGCAAGTACTCCGTCTGGATCGGCGGCTCCATCCTCTCCTCGCTCTCGACCTTCCAGTCCATGTGGATCTCCAAGGCCGAGTACGACGAGTCCGGCCCGGCCATCGTCCACCGCAAGTGCTTCTAGATCCGAGCTGCTGCCGCAGGGAGAGTCTTCGGTGATTCCCCGGCGCGCGCCGCGTTGCTAACGACGCGTCCCTGGAACTTTATCTACGGCGCTGGCTCCTCAGGACGTCGCGCCGAGCGCGCGCGCGCAGACGCGGACCTTGGACGGGTCCCGCGCGGCCTCGCCCGGCGGGACGGCGATCAAGATCGTCTTTGCGTCCGTCGCCTCGGGGTAGACGTGGTAGTAGCGCTGGGACGGCGCGCCGCAGGCCCCGTCGCCCGGCGCGTTGGCCTCCGGGACGACGCCCGCATACGCGCCGGCGACTTGGCGCGACCCGCAGCGCGGCTTGCCCCGCTGGCCGCAGTCGGCCGTGGCGAGGTTGAAGTTCGTCACGTGGACCCCGTCGAGGAAGACCATGCCCGTGCCGAGGCCGTCGAGGTCGAGGAGCGTCGCCGCGTCGCCGGCGCCTTGCGCTTTGGAAAAGTCCGCGGCGAACCAGCCGCGGCCGTCGCCGTCGGTCCAGTTCGTCCAGGCGAGGGCCGGGCCGCAGGCGATGGCCGGCGCGTCGACGGGCGCCACGTCCGACGTGTTGAAGAGCACCGCGCCCGACGCGCCGTCGAGCGCGACCACACTGCCGAAGGGCAGGACGAGCGCCGGCGGCGCGCCGGCGGGGAAGAGGCCCGTCGCGTTGCTCGCGCGGACGTCGACGGCGGCCGTCGCGTTGGCGTCGCAGGCGTTCCACTGGGCGCAGGCGTGGACGCCGAAGACGACGGACGCGGTGTCGTTGGCGAACTTGAGGAAGTAGGCGTGCGGGCACGCCGCGACGCACGACGGCGTCGCGAGCGCCTCCGGCGTCGCGCCGAGCAGAACCTCCGCGTAGGCGTCGAGCGTGCCGTGGACCGCGGCGAGGTGGGAGAAGAGGGGCTCGTGGCGGGAGCCGTCGCTCCGCAGCGGCGCGGCGTTCGCGTAGCGGACCTGGGACGCGGGCGGTTCCGGGGACCTCGCGCGGGAGCGGACGACGCGCGGTCGCGCGCCGTGTTCTCCGCGGACGACGCGCCGCCGAGGTCGGGCGTCGCCGTGGACCAGTTGCCGTAGTGGTTGCCCCCGTGCCACATGTAGAAGTTGTGCATCGCGCCGCCCGTGGCGACGTAGGACGCGACGCCGTAGGCGACGTCCGCGGGCGGCCGCGCGAGGCTCGGCAGGCCCCAGGCGTCGTACCAGAGCTCGTCCTCCGTGTACCAGGCCGGGTCGGCGCCCGGCGCGGGGGGCACGACGACGTGGGCGCTCGCGGGGCCCTGGTCGTGGGGGCAGCCGTTGCCCGTGTGGAGCGCGTCCGGCGCGACGAGGCTCACGAAGCCGCACATCATCCAGACGAGCTCCGGGGCGACGGCGTCCGCGAGCGCGTCGAGCGCGTCGACGTAGGCGACGGCGGCCGCGTCGGACTTGGAACCGCCGTACTCGTTCTCGATCTGCGACGCGACGATCGGGCCGCCTGGAGACGTCGGGCCGGGTCGCGGCGCGGCATGCAAGTGGGACGCGGTTTGACGCGCCGTTGCGCGAGAGGTGGGGCTCGATGACGGCGAAGTGGTCCCGCATCCACCGGCCCGTCTCGTTGAGCCACGCGGTGTTGTTCGTCCGCGTCTTCATGCCGGGCACGTCGTGGATCCAGGCCTGCGGAGCGGTCGGGTGCGCCAACGTTGCTCGCGAAGACGGCGCGACGCGGCGCGCGCGCCGGGATGCCCCCGGCGGGCCACTCGGCGCAGACGTAGGGCCCGAAGCGCCAGAGCACGAAGAGGTCGTGCTCCGCGGCGAGCGACAGAAAGAGGTCCACGTCGCCGTTGAAGCCGTAGTCGTAGGCGCCGTACCGCGTCGCGCTGTGCTTGTTCCAGAAGGCGTAGGACTCGATGGCGTTGAGGCCGTTGGCCCGCGCCTCGGCGAAGAGCTTGGGCCACATGGCCGGCGTCGACCGCGGGTAGTGGATGGACCCGGACAGCAGCAGCACGCGGCTCCCGTTGACGAGGAGCGACCGGCCGTCGCGGGCGATGCTGTAGGGCCGGCCCTCGAGCTCGCTGTAGCGCCGGACGACGCCCGCGGCGGAGGCGGCGGCGAGGAGGAGGCAGAGGTGGGAGAGGACGACCATCTTTGTTCTCGTCGCGAAGCCGGGCTGCTTGGCCGCATCAAGCCGATCTTGAAGAGCATGCGCCGATTGTTGCTCCGCCAGCGAAGCGTGAGATCGGCTTCACCACACCACCTGGCCCGCCGTTTGGCAAGGATCGCGACACTTAGACGCATCGTAGAAGCAAAGAATACCGACCCTTAACGCTCACACACCACCATGGGGAAGAGCATCGGCGGCATGAAGGACCTCATCAAGCGGAACAGCACGGCCAAGGCGGAAGAACCCAAGGAAGCCGCCCCGAAGGACGAGGCCGACGCGTCGTCGGTCGTGTCGCAGGAGGACGCGCCCGCGGACGAGCCCAAGCCCAAGCGGCCGCGCGCGTCCCCGCCGTCGCCGCCGCCGGAGATCGACGTCGACGGCGCGACGGGCGTCGAGGTGTCGGCGCGGATCGTCGAGGCCATGCGCGCGCACGCGCGCGGCACCTACGACGCCGCGGCGCTCGCCTCCGAGCTCTGCCGCACGGCCGCGGAGAAATCCGAGGCCTTCGCGGCCTACCTCGAGACCTACCAGGGCGACGACGCGGCCGGCGACGACCTGCGGAACCGGTCGCGCGTCGAGGATTCGCCGCCGAGGCTGAGCGAGCTCGTGGACGGCGAGCTCACGGGGACCCTCGTCGTGCCCGAGGCGTCCGAGCCCTACTTCTCCGAGCTCCGCCTCGCGTACCGCGAGGACGGCGCGCTGCCCGCGTTCCACAAATTGGAGCGGCTCAACTACCTCGCGTTCGACGGCGACGAAATCCGGCTCAGCGCGAACGGGACGCCGCCCGTGACGCACGACGCGGACACGGGCGAGGGCTTCTCGGTCATCGGCCTGCTCGACGCCATCGCGAAGACCATCGCGAAGCAGGTCCCGTCCGCGGCGACGGTGTCCTTCAAAGAGATCGCCGAGAACTCGCACCTCGACGGCGTCTGGGACCTCAAGTTCTCGGTCCAGTAGGCGCGCAAGCTACCGGGGGGGGGGGACTAACCGCCCTCCGACGAACACAAACTTCGTTAGCGCGGCGGCGGGTAGCGGTCCAGCACGGGGCTCCGCGGCGGCTCCTTCGGCGCGGGCGCGGCCGCGACGGCGGCGGCCTCCCCGGGCGCCTCGGCGACCGCGGTCGCCTCGACGTTCGCGAGCAGCGCGTCCAGGAAGGACGCCGTCGGCGGCCGCCGCGCCGACGGCGCGGGCAGCTTCAGGAGCGCGTCGCGGATCTCGTCGTACTTGGACGCGAAGAGCTCGAGCGCGACGCCGACGTTGTACGAGTTCCGCCCGACGTTGTTCGACGGCTCGAGCGGGTCCTCGATGAGGATGAAGGCGTTGGGGACGCCCGGCGCGAGGCGCCGGCCGCCCCGGCGCACGGAGAAGCCGCAGGACTCGGGCGCGAACTCCAGACCGAAGAGCTCGAGGAAGTCGAGGAGCGCGAGCGCGACGTCGCGGTGGCTCAGGTCCGCCTCGTCGTCGTCGCCCCGGGGCGCGTCCCGCAGGAGCGCGTCGGCGACCTCGGCGCCGTACAGAGCCCCGCGCGTCGCGAGCGTCGGCGTCCGCGCGCGCGGGTGCGCGGACGCGAACGTCGGCGCGAACGACGCGGACGGCTTCGGCGACGCGAGGGGCGACGACGAGGCCTCGTCCTTCGACGGCGGCGTCTTCGGCGGCCGCCGCGCGGGGCTCGACGGCGGCGTGCGCTCCGACGTGCGCCGCAGCAGCCGCTTCGCCGTCGCGTCGCGCCACGCGTCGTCGCGGAGCGTCCGCTCGCTCCGGAACCCCCGGGACCGCAGCCGGTGCTCCGCGGAGCGCTTGGCGTGGAGGCGGGAGTAGAAGACCATGAGCAGCACGGCGTAGGACGGCAGGCCCCCCGTGTAGGCGTCGTTGAGGCCCGCGGCCGCGAGGAGGCACCGCACGGCGAGCGCCGCGGGCGCGAGCTCCGGCAGCCGCGACACGAGGCGCTCGCAGAGCGCCGCGGCGGCGAGGCCGCTGTGGCCCGCGCAGTCCAGGGAGATGTCGACCTTGACCAGGGGGCCCATCGGGTGCCACGCCGCCGTGTCGACGACCGCGCGGACGACGGGCACGCGCGCCTTGTCGAGGACCTTGTCGACGCGGACGCCGTCGGCCGCGCGCAGGTACTGGGCCAGGCGGTGCAATACATAAGTCGGGTTGCTCAGCAGCTCGTCGCTCTCGCGGAGCGCGTCCCAGCCCACCACTACTAAATCCAGGTCGCTGTCCCCGAAGTCGAGCCCGTACGCGCACGACCCGAAGAGCTCGACGGTCATCCCGCCCGCCTCGGGGAAGGCCGTGGCCACGGCGCCGCGCGTCACGGCGACGGCCGTCTCCCGCGGCGGCGCCGCGGCCGCCGACGCCGCGCGCTGCCGCGCGCGGAGCGCCGCGAGCTCGCCGCCGAGCGCGGCCAGCGACGCGTCGCGGTGCCGCCGCACGAGCCGCGCGAGCCCCCGCGCGTCGTCGCCGGCCCCCGCCGACGACGCGCCCCGGGACCGCCGCCGCGCGACGCGCGCCGCCGCCGCCGCGACGGCCGCGCGCGCGTCGCCGCCCTGCACGCGCCGGCTCCGCTCCTGCTCGACCTCCGCCGCGACGACGACGCGCCACCGCTCGCGCGTGCGCTCCTCGCGCTCCCGCGTCACGTCGGAGAACGGGCAGGAAGCCAGGTGCGCACTGAGCTCCTCGCCGCGCCGGCACGACACGCCGCAGCCCATGACCGCGTTCGGGCAGACGACCAGGTACTTCTCGTCCTCGTCGCCGCCGCCCGACGGCAGCCGCGGCGCGCGGTCGAGCTCCAGGGCCTGGTCGCTCGACGCCGGCGCGCGGGGGCACGACGCGAGGTGCGCGACGAGGCCCGACCGCGCGCACGCGTGGCCGCAGCCGAAGCACGCGTAGGGGCAGACGACCTCGTAGTCGTCGTCCCAGGTCTTGGCGTTGACCAGCTCCTCGAACCAGCGCGTCGAGGCCGTCTCCAGCAGGAAGGTGTCGGAGACGCGGCGCCGCTGCTCGCCGGCGATGGCCTCGACGGCCCACGCGCGCCGCCGGCTCCGCTCCGCGCGCTCCTCCTCCTCGAGCTCCGCGAGCACGACGAGCCGGCGCGCGCGCTCGGCCTCCGCCGCGCACGTCGCCCAGGCGGCCCAGGCGCGCCGGCCGCCACCGCCGCGGAGCTCGAGGTCCTCCGCGCGCGCGCGCGCGGACGCCTCGACGGCCGACGCCCACGCGGCCGCGTTCCGCGCGTGGAACGTCCGCTGCGCGCCGACGTCCGCCGCCGCGGGCGGCCCGGGCCGGAAGACCGTGCGCGCGAGCCGCAGGAACTCGAAGTTGCCGTCCGCCTCGTCGTCGTCGCGGGCCGGGGCCTCGAAGCCGTCGGACGGCCGGAAGCCGTCGTCGCGGGCCGGGGCCTCGAAGCCGTCGAACGGCCGGAAGCCGTCGTCGTAGGCCGGGGTCTCGAAGCCGTCGAACGGCCGGAGGCCGTCGTCGTAGGCCGGGGTCTCGACGCCGTCGAACGGCCGGAAGCCGTCGTCGTAGGCCGGGGCCTCGAAGCCGTCGAACGGCCGGACGCCGTCGAACGGCGCCGGCGCCGGCGGCGCGCCGGGGAAGTCGCGCGGCGCGTCGTCGAGGCTGAAGTCGGGCACGAAGGCGACGACGTGCGGGTTCAGCGTCGGCGTGAGCGCCTGCGGCGGCGAGCCGGCGGCCTGCGCGGCCGCCAGCGCCTTGCGCTCGCGCTTCACGGCGGCGCCCGTCTTCCGCCGCCGCCGCGCGCCCGTGCGCTCCTCCTTGGTCTTCTTCGCCAGGCCGCGCGCCTCGCGGCTCAGGCGCGGCGGAGGCTGCCCGGCCATCGGGTTACATGTTGCTAGGATCTCTGTGTTCGTCCCAGCACATGCCCCGGCCGGCGGGGAGGGATCGTCAAGGGATGTCGGCCACCGGCGCCGCGCGCGCGGGGACGACGCTCGGGTGTTTGTTTTCGTCGCCGCCTCCTCGACGCCGCGCGCTCCGTCGCCGCGCGCACGCGTTCCGTCGCCCCGCGCTCGCTCCGAGTCGGCGCCGCGGACGACGGCGACGGCGGACCTACGACTACTGTTACCCGCGCCTAGGCCGACGCGCTCAGGCTGTATATCTGGCAGGGGAAGGGCGGCTCGCCGTCGCACTTGCCGTAGGCGACCGTGACCTCGCTGCCGCTCTTGTAGCCGGCGATCTTGTCGCCGTTGAGCGTCGAGCGCTTGCCCTTGCAGCCGCCGTCCTCGAACGCGCCCGACGCCGTCTCGAAGATGTACTCATAGCCCGTGAGGTCGTCGCCTGAAAAGGTCACCGTCGCCTCGTCGCCGTCGGCGACGACGGAGAGCTTGAACGGATCGGCGCCGGCCGTGACGTTCTTGCCCATGATATTCGTGCCGATGGTCGTCGATTGCGCGCAGTACATGCGCCTACGGTTGAAACTTAATGTCGTGTTGCCGTCTTCTTCCGACGCTGCCCGCGCGCCCGTCGTCGAGCTTGCGGTAGGACGCATCGATCATCATGAAATCGGCATGCGCCTGCGAAGCGACTGCCTTTGCAACGCGAAGCGATCGGACGAGGGACGCCGGCGCGCACCGATGCCGAAGCGACGAGGCTGAGGGCGGCGATGAGGCGCATCATCTGGCTCCAATTTCTCGTCCGGTCGACGAGTCGGGGCTGCCTCTTCGGAATCTCGCTCAGTGGCCTAGCGTATGATGCCCTAGCGTTGATCGAGGTGGCCAAAGAAGCTTGTGCTGATTGCAGCTCGGATCGGCGTCGCCTGTAGCACTTGGCCGCCGCGATCCGACGCCGCACGCCGCGCGCACCACCGCGAACGCCATCATGAAGCTCATCGCCTACTCGACCATCGCGTCCACCGCGTGCGCGTTCGTGTCGACGTCGCCGGCGGCCTCCGCCGTCAGCCTGCGCGCCGTCGAGGCCCGCGCCGTCGAGGCGGCGCCGGCGCGCGACCTCACGGGCCGCATCCCGGACTGCCCGGCGACGCTCTGGGACGACCAGAACATCGACGTCGCCGCGGCGCGGCGCGGCGCGGCGCCCCTGCCCGAGTGCCCGACGGAGCACGTCGCGCGGCTGTCGAGCGCGGGCCCCGAGTACTTCCGCGAGCGGAGCGCGGCCATCCTGGGCGACCTCGAGAAGCACGGCTGCGTCTGGTTCCGGGGCTTCGACCTCATGAAGACGGAGGCGGGCTTCCGCCAGTTCTACGAGGCCGTGGGCCTCGACCCGTGCCTCGACCCGATCCACACGTCGGGCCTCCGCGCGTTCGCGTCGCAGTCCGACGCGCTCTACGAGGAGGTGAACAAGGAGAGCCTCGCCCAGCACTACATCGGCCTCCACCAGGAGTCGACGCACAAGAAGACGGCGACCTACGGCGCCTTCGTGTGCTTCAAGCCCGCGACGGTGTCCGGCGGCGAGTTCTTCATCGCCGACGCGGCCAAGATCGCGCGCGACCTGGACGCGGACGTCGCGCAGCGCATCTACGACAAGAAGATCCGCATCTCCGTGTCGAACCTCGACCTCAACTTCCTCGAGGCCGCGGGGCCCTTCAAGGAGGGGCTCATGGAGGGCGCGAAGAACGCCGTCGACACGCTCGTCGCGCCGAAATTCGACATGGACCTCGAGATGATCTACGGCGCCGACGGCAAGCCCATGCGCCTCCAGGCCGTCGAGCAGGTCGCGAGCCCGCTGAACCGCCACCCGAAGACGGGCGAGCTCCTCTGGTTCTGCAACATCCACAACCACGCGCGCTACCTCCGGGACCGGCGCCCGTGCACGGTGCCCGAGGTCGGCATGACGGAGGTCTACCACGGCGACCTGTCCGCCATTTCCTCCGACGACCTGGACCACATCAACGCCGTCTCGGAGAAGAACATCGCCAAGATCCCCATGCAGCCCGGCGACGTGCTCCTCGTCGACAACTACCGGATCCTCCACGGCCGCGACACGTTCAAGGGCGACCGCTACCACGCCGTCTCCTGGTTCGGCGGCCTCGTCAAGGACCGGCCCGCGGACTACGACGACGGCGACGACGACGCCCAGAAGCCCGGCGACCTCCTCAACAAGCTCATCAACAAGTACGTCGTCGACGCGTTTTAAAGCCGCGGCGGAGAGAGCCGCGCGCGGCGCGCGATCGCCCCGTAACGAGCGCCCAAGGAGCCACGTGGTCTGGTCGCCCGCGGCAGCAGGGCGCGCTCAGTGGGGGCTCTGCTTCGGGCACTTGCGGCCGCCGATCTGGGGCCAGATCTTGAACATGAAGAAGCCGAGGCGGTTCTTGATGTTGCCCGGGAAGGACGTCCCCGTGAACACGTGGCCCGTCGGCAGGTGCGAGACGCCCTTCTTGGGACCGACGGAGATCACCGTCGGGCAGAAGGGCCGCTTGTACCTCTTCCTCGGCGCCTTGCCCGCGAGCACCGCCTTCACGTTCGCCGCCACCGTCGCGACCATCGCGTCGATGGCCGGCGTGCTCCACTCGCGGTCGCCGCAGCCCGGGAAGTCTGCGACCTCGCCCGCCGCGAAGACGCGCGTCTGCTTCTCGACGCGCAGATGGTCGTCGACTTTGAGCTTGCCCGACGACGTGCACTCGAGCATGTCGAAGACGTCCCTCGCCTGGGCAGCACAAGAGTGATTCAACGTCGCTTCAACGTGAGTGTTCCGCGCGCGCGCGTTCCGGAAAAAGCATCCACGCTTCGAGACCGTTCCGAGAGATGATCGCTCGTCCAAAAGTCAGCCGAAACGAGTGGAAAACGGCCGAGATAGGAGCCTTTGAAGTTGAGAATTTCGCTCTCTTGTGCTGCCCTGTCCCTCGCCGCGAAGCGGTTGCCGCAGCACCAGAACCCCAGCTCCGCGGCGACCTCGGCGCCCTTGGCCGTCGCCACGGTCCCGCTCAACGGGATGGGCCCGTCGAGGTCGAGGAACCCCTTGGGCAGCTTGTTCTTCGCGACCTTGTCGTCGAAAATTAACGTCACGCCGAGCTCCGTGAGAAACTTGGCCGCGGCGGCGCTGAGCTTGTCCCGCTTCGCGTCCGAGCCGCCCGCGGACCCGACGAGGAGCCGCGGGCCGCTGTGCACGAGCGTCACCTCGCACGCCGTCGCCGTCGCGATCTCGCCCGCGATCTCGACGCCGACGGCGCCGCCGCCGATGATCACGCAGCTTTTGGCTTTTTCGATGGCCGCCTTGCACGCCCTGTAGGTCGCGACGCGCTCGCTCACGGGCGCCGGCGACCGCCTCGCCGGGAACGCGACCTTGGCGCCGATGGCCATGACGACGGCCTCGCAGGGCAGGCTCGACCCGTCCGCCAGGAGGACCTGGGGCTGCTTCTCGTCGTTGAGCAACATGCCCGTGGCCTCGTTCTGCACGACCTTGCCGCGCCTCAGCGCCTTGTCGTAGGGCACGAACTGCTTCCAGGCCCAGCCGTCGTCGACGATCGCGCGCACGCTGGGGATGGGGATGTGGTAGGCGGCGCACTGCTCGACGACGGTCACCTCGCAGCTCCCGTCGAGCTTCTTCGCGATGCCGATGCCCGCGAAGCCGCCGCCGACGACGACGACGCGCCGCTCCGGTTTCACCGACATGTTTTTTGGACCTCGAGCTCGAGCTTCACTCGATGCACGCGCTGGACCTTCACTCGATGCACGCGCTGGACCTTCACTCGATGCACTTCCTGGACCTCGAGCTTCGGCCGACGCGCCTCGCTGGCGTCGTCGGGCTTCAAAACGACGAGGAACGCGATGGCCAGCCCAAGGCGTTGAATTAAATCTGCAGTGCAGCAAGGGCAGTCCACGATAACAATCCTCGACCCAGGGCCGGTTTGGCAGACCGCAAGGTAAATGTTGGCTGGCTGGGTGGCTCGGTCGCTGGCAGCCACCCATTTCTTCAATGTAGACGTTGCATGTGCAAATCTTGCGATTTTCGCGCGGGAATCATGTCAAAATCTAATTAGGCGCCCGGAGTGGCCCGCCGGGGGTGACGGAAGCGCGAGCGCCGACGCGCGTGGCCGGCGGCCAGCCGGTCGCCGCAGCCGCCCCAGGACGGCGCGGCGCGCCGTAGGCGCGCGTTGTAGAGGTTGTTAGCGAGGGGCCGTTTCGTGGACTGGACGTCCCTGGCTGGCTGGCTGGGTCGGCCCTGGGCGGCTGGCTGCGGTCTTGGCCTGCCCTTGAGTGCAGTGCAAATTGCAGTGCAATCACATCATCAACACCGGCTCGCAAGCGTAGCAGGCTATGGTTTGGGAACAGGCATCGAACTCATGCGTCTAGGCATCGTCGCGGCGCTCTGCGCGACCGCGCGCGCCTTCGACGTCGTCGGCGTCGAGGTCCTCGCGTCGCAGCTTCTGCCCGTGGGCTTCGCCTTCGGCAACGACACTTTGGCGGAGCTCAGCGCCTGCCGCTTCGCGCCGGGCTCGTCGACGCGCGCGACCTTCGCCGACGACGCCGGCGCGCTCGTCGCCGCCGACGTGACCTTGGATCCCTTCGCCGTCACGCCGCGCTCGCGGGTCGTGCTCGGCGGCGGCGGCGTCGACAGCGAGGGCCTCGCGTACGACGCGTCCAAAAACCTCTACGTGTCGAGCGAGACCGAGGCCGACGCGTCCCTCGGCATCGGCGCCTACGACGCCGCGACGGGCGCCCTCCTCGCGTCGCCCTTCGCGCTGCCGCCGGACGCCGTCCGGAGGGCGCGGAAGAACGCCGGCTACGAGGGCCTCACCGTCGCCTCCGGGCCCTGCGTCGGCGACGCGGACGCGGCGTCGGCCTACGTCGTCACGACGACGGAGTACGCGCTCCGCGGCGACGCCAACGGGACGCGCACCGTCGAGGCCTGGCGGCTGCCGCCGAGCGACCCGCCGGCGTTCCCCGCCGTCGCGCTGACCTACGCCGCGTCGGCGACGCGAGCCGGCGAGGCCCTCGGCGTCGTCGAGTTCGAGGCGCTGGAGCGGTCGCTCCTCGTGCTCGAGCGCGACTACACGCCCGGCGTCGGCAACCTCGTGCGGCTCTTCGAGGCCGAGGCGCGCGGCGCGAGCCTCGAGAAGCGCCTCGTCTTCGAGTGGGACGGCGACGGCGCGCGGGGCCCCGGCGGCAACGCGCTCTGGGACGACCTCGCCGTCGACAACTACGAGGGCATGTGCCTCGCGCCCGCCGGCGCCGACGCGACGCAGCGGCGGCTCCTGCTCGTCAACGACGACAACCGGAATCCGGACCAGATCGGCACGCAGTTCGTGCTCCTGCGGCTCGGGCTCGCGGCGGCCGGCGCGTCCGTCGAGGCGCCAAAGGACAGCGCGGGCCTGCGCGTCTTCATCCTCATCGTCACGTTGGGCATCGTCGTCCTCGCGATCTTTTTCCTCGGCCGCGTCGTCGCCGCGCGCCGCGCGGCGAACGCGCCGCCGGTCCTCGGCGACCCGGGCCTCATGCTCACGTCGCTCCACTTCGCGCCGCCGGACGTGTCCGGGCCCTACGCGCCCGTGCTGGCCAACGACAACGACGGCGACGAGTCGCCCCGCGCCGTCGACGCGGCGCGCGCGGGCCTCGTGTAGTCCTCCCCTAGACGGCGCGGAGCACGGCGCCCGACGACGGCGCCCGGCCGCCGACGGAGAAGCCGCCGTCGGCGTTGAGCTGGACGACCGTGCCGTTGCGGTCGCCGGCCTGGTGGTCGTAGAGCTCCTCGTGGTGGGGCAGGTGGCCGCCGACGAACTCGGCCATGAACGCGTTGAGCTTCTTGTAGACCTTGGCGTCCGCGGGGATCTTGTCGCCCTCGGCGTGCTTGCCGAGCGTGGCGATCTTCCAGTGGAAGGAGATGCGGTGCGACATCGCGCCCCACGTCGCGGACGGGTCCAGCGCGTGGAACGTCGGGCAGTTCTTGTCCAGGAACTGGATCGCCTTCTCGCCGACGGCGCCGACGAGCACGACGAACTTGACGCCCTCGATCCACTTGGGCATCTGGCAGGCCACGGCCGCGCCGCCGGAGAAGCCGAGGAGCGCGTCGCACTCGTGGTGGTGGTACGCGTCGAAGACGTGCTGGAAGCAGTCCATGGCCACCTCGGGCTTGCCCCCCTCCCACCAGGAGAAGTTCGGCGTCGTCTTCCAGGCGGCCTCGTCGACGAAGGGCTTGCAGCGGCTGTCCGGCGGGCCCGCCTTCGACCGGAACGGCCCGTCGACGAAGAAGAGCTCCGCGTCCAGCAGCCCCCGCGCGTGCGCCAGCTGCTTTTCGAAGAGCCTCGCCGAGGACCGCGACCCGTGGAGGCAGAGGATGCGCGGCTTCCTCGTCGGGCGCGGCGCCCGCTGCGTCCGGACGTGGCTGATCATGCCGCGCGCGACCCAGCCGTCGCACGGCTTGAAGATCTTGACGCGCTCGACGCCGTCGTACTCGTCGTTCGAGTCGGCGACGCACTGGACCTCCGTGCCGCCCTCGAGGATGGTCTTGCACGGCTCCAGCAGCTCGGGCTCGTCGCGCACCCAGCAGCCGGGGCCCCGCACCCAGCGCCGGCAGCTCTGCTCGGGGCCGAAGCCGGGCTCCGTCTCGTACTCCGGCGACCCGGCCATGGCCTCGTTGAGCGCCTGCTGGATGCCGCCGTGGTCGAAGGAGGCCATGGCAGAAGACGACTCGCACAGCCACTCGAGGCAGCCCGGGCCCGGGGCGGCACCGCATGAAGTTCCTGGCAACACCAAGTGCAACGATGGCGCGCCCGGGCGGCATCCCCGCGGACCTCGCCGACGCCGAGGGAAGCCCGCCTACGCACCTTTAGGGCGGCGCGGCCTCCGTCGGCGGCGGCGGCGGCGCCCAGCGCGTGAGGGCCCGGTCGTAGCCGCCCGCGAGGACCGCGGCGCCGTCGGGCGACAGCGCGCACGCGTTGACGACGGCCGACGGCCCGCAGACGGGGCACGCCGACTGCCAGCCGCCCGTCCAGGAGATGGACGTGCCGCAGCCCTCGCAGTTCTCCGCGACGCCCGCGGTCGTCGTCGGGCCCCAGCGCGGCACGGCGAGGGCCGCGGGCCCCGAGACGGCGCCGCCGCGGCCGACGTCGCGGAGCTGGAGGATCGCGCTGTCGCCCTCGGCAGGCACGGCGACGGCCAGCAGGCGCCGCGCGCGCGTCGACACGGCGTTGACGCTCGTGCCGCAGCGCGCCCGCCAGAGGAGCTCCGGCGCGCCGGCGCGCCAGCGCCACAGCGAGAGCGTCCCGTCGGCGCCGCCGGCGACGAGCAGGTCGCCGTCGAGGTCCACGGCGTAGGCGTCGGCGCACTTCGACGCCGGGTCCGCGCGCGCGTCGAGCTTCGCGACGAGCACGGGGGCGAAGGGGTCCGCCGGCTCGCCGGCGTAGTCGATGGCGAGCGCGTCGCCGAGGTCGCCGTCGTCGCCGTCGCTGTCCTCGGGGTCGATCTCGAAGGGGCTCTCGTCCTCGGGCAGCTCGTAGCACGACACGAGCGGGCCGTCGTGGGAGCCCAGGACGCTCAAGGCCAACGCGAGGCGCCGGCCGCGCAGCGCGACGGCCTCGACGGCCGCGGAGAGCGGCCGCGGCGCCGCGGCGACCTTGAAGACGAGCGTCGGTGCGAGGCCGGCGTCGACGCGCCAGATCCGGACCCGGCCGTCCTCGTCGCCGGCGACGAGCCGCGACCCGTCGGAGGCCAGGGCGCGCACGCCGCCGCCGCCCGACGCGAGCGCGGCGCGGCCGGCGGCGTCGCCGGCGATCGACCGCAAGTGGATCTCGCCTCTCATCGTGCCGCCGGCCGCGACGACCGCGCCGTCCTCGAGCCGGAGCAGCGCGGCGCTCAGCACCGTGGACAGGTCGTCCCAGCGCCGCACGACGCCGTTGCCCGCTGCTGCGTAGACCGTGAGAGCTTCATCATCACCGACGACGAAGAGATTGTCGGGACCGAAGCTGATCGCATGGATGATGGCCTCTCTCGGTGCTGGGACCTTCTTTACCCAGGCGGCCATAGTGATGCGAACCCCGGCTATAGTGAGAGCTAGAGCGTCGTTATATCGCTTCGCACATGCCAACACCGTGAATGGGAGCACGAGGCTCTTGCCACAAAAAGGCCTCGCCGACATAGATCTTCACCAGCAGCCTGGTTGATCGCGGTATGGCGCCGCCGCCGCTCAAGCGCCTGAGGCAGACCGGCGACCTGCGCCTCACGGCCGAGATCGACTATGCCAAGCTCCTCCACGCGGCCCAGGTCCTCGAGGAGTCTTCGAACTTCGCCTGCTGCCTCAGCGGCGACCGCGGGAGCGTCTGCGCCGGCTCGAGCGCGGGCGTCGTGACGACCTGGGACTTGATGGCCGAGGGGCGGCCCGTCGCCGCGACCTGGGACGCGGGCGTCGGCGCGATCTACGACATGGCCGTAAACGGCGACGTCGTCGTCCTCGGCGGCGACCGCGGCCTCGGCGTCGCGGCCGCCCTCGACGTCGCCGGCGGCGGGCCGCCGGCGCGGCGCCTCGCGGCGGACGCGGCGCCCTTCCGCAACGGCGCGACGCCGCCGACGGCCGAGGTCAACGGCGTCGCGCTGGACGGCGGTGCGGCCTGGGCCGGCGGCGGCGACGGCTTCGTGCGACTTTGGGATTTGGAAGCGGGCACATGCACACAGTCGACGCGCGCGCACGGCGACATGGTGCTCGGCGTCTGCCTCGCGCGCGAGGCCGGCGTGCTCTGCAGCGTCTCGGAGGACGGCACGGCCGCGTTCGTCGACGGCCGCGCGCCGGGCGTCGCGCGGCGCCTGCCCGCGGGCGCGACCGTCGCGGCCGCCGTCCGCGACGCGGACGCGGCGAGCCTGCCCGCCGGGGCCCGCGGCTGGTGCGGCGCCGTCCACGTGGACCCGACGGCGACCTGGGTCACCGTCGCCGGCGGCCTCGACGCCGACGCGGCCGCGCGCGCGCGCCGCGGCGCCGCGGCGCCGCCGCCGGGCGGCTGGCTCGCGACGCTCCACGCGCCGACGGGCGCCGTCGTCCGCGGCGGGGCGACGCCCGCGGCCGTGCGCTGCATGAGCGCCGACGAGTCCACGCTCATCACGGGCGGCGACGAGGCCGCGGTCTCCTTCTGGTCCCCGAACGCCGCGCAGGCCGGCTGCGCGCCGCGGCGCCGCCAGCGCGTCGACGTCCCCGCGGTCTACGCGCTCTGCGTCGCCCACGACCTCCCGGACCTCCTCGAGGACTGCGGCATCGCGGACGACGACGACCTCGGCGCGGCCAGCGTCCTCTTCGCCGCGGGCGCCGCGCCCGTCGTCGACGTCAGCTCCGGCGAGACCGAGCTGTTCACGCTGGCCCAGGCGTAGAGGCTAACTCGCGGTGGCGTCGCGCAGGCCCGCACGCGCAGGGCGCGGCGACGGACTCGCGCCGACGACGGCCGCGCCGGGAGGCCTGCCGGGACGCATGTTGCCGTCAATCAAGGGTGGGACGTCGTCGCTTCTGGCGCCCGCAACTAGGTGAGGCGCGTGGCCCGTGAGCCGCACAACCGAACCCGCGCGTCGCTCGCGCCCGGCCCTCTCGACGAGTGTCCCGCGCCGCCGAGCGCGCCCCGAAGATGGGCAACAACTGGACGAAGGAGGACGGCGACTTCCAGCCCATCGAGGGCGAGCGGGGGAACCGCAAGTACCAGCGCGAGGGCGTCGGCGTCGGCGAGCAGGCGCACCGCGACGGCGCGCCGGGCCGCGACTACCGGAGCCCCGGCGTGGGCGCGAGCCCCGGCGACTACCGGGGCCCCGGCGGCGGCCCCGGACGGCCGCCGCCGCCGCCGCCGGGCGCCGCGAGCGAGGCCGCGACGCCCACGGGCCTGCAGGCGCCGGGCCAGGTCTTCCCGGCCGGCGCCGGGGGCGCCAAGCCCATGGACGTCGACGGCGGCGGTGGCGGCGCCGCGCCGCTCGACGACGACGACGACGAGGTGCCGACCGTCTTCCGCTGGGAGCACGGCGGCCGCGTCGTCTACGTGACGGGCACCTTCAACAACTGGGACAAGCAGATCCCCATGCACCGCAGCGGCAACGACTTCACCTACATCCACAACCTGAAGAAGGGGAAGCACGCGTTCAAGTTCGTCGTCGACGACGAGTGGCGCTTCGCGCCCGACCAGCCGACCGTCGCGGACATCGAGGGCCGCATCAACAACTTCATCGACGTGTCGGACTTCGACGCCTACACGGGCGACGAGAACTTCCTCCTGCGGCGGACCAAGTCCGTCGGCGGCGAGCTCTACACGCGCGAGATCCCCGACCTCGACGAGTACACCAAGGACCCGCCGCCGCTGCCGCCCCACCTGCGCCACATCATCCTCAACAAGGCGCCGCCGTCCAACGACCCCAACGCGCTCCCCGTGCCCCAGCACGTCGCGCTGAACCACCTCTACTGCACGGCCATCAAGGACGGCATGATGGTGCTCGGCGTCACGCTGCGCTACCGCCAGAAGGCCTGCACGACCGTCTACTACAGCTGCTCGTGACGGGGGAACCCCTTAAACGTACTCGGGATAGACCTCGCCGGGTATGGGTCAACTTAGGTGACGGGCTTGGCGAAGTTCTGGTAGCCCGCGCCGAGGCACGCGGACCGGACCGTGCCGTCGCCGTTGCGCGTGAGCTTGAAGCGCACGCCCAGGAACTGCCTGATGAGGCGCAGGCGGCCGACGGCGCGGTCCGTCAGCGGGCCCGTCACCGCCGAGCTCACGTCCTCCGGGCCGAGGGCCATGAGCGTGAAGAGGAGGGGCTGGCCGTGGTCGTCGCAGACGCCGCCGCGGTTGACCTCGCCCAGCAGCACGAACGCGGCGGCCTCGCCCAGGTCCTCGGGCGTCGGCCGGTCGCCGGCCTCCGTGCGGTACCAGTGGGCGTCCAGGTCGGCGCAGAGCACGCGGTCGTCGAGCGTCTCCGCGACGAGGCAGCAGCCGAAGCCGGGGGAAGGAAAACAGTCGCGCTTCGCGGCCGCGTCCGTCGTGACGCGCACGTCCGCCAGGAGCCGGTTCAGGGGGCCGCGCGCCGCGGCGACGCAGCGGTTCGCGAGGGCCGGCGCCGACCGCGTGCAGTAGGCGACGCCGCGGACGCGCTTGACGAGGCCGACGGCGTCGAGCGCGGCCGGCGACAGCTTGCGAATAGGCGCGCAGGTCAGCACGATATTCCCCCGCGCCGCCGACGCGCACGCCGCCAGCAGCGCCTCGGTCTTGTCCTCCTCGAGCACGGCGGCCTCGCGGCGCGCGACGCGCACGCCGCAGTCCTCGACGCCGAACGCCTTCAGCAGCGGGAGCGCGCCCGCGCGGATGGCGTCGGCGCCGCGGCACGCGCCGTCGCCGCAGGTCGCGCCGAGGAGCGTGAGCTCCAGCGCCGCGGCGCCGAAGGGCGCCAGCGGGAGCACGGCGTCGAGGAACCAGCCGACGGCGCGCCCGCTCCGCGAGCAGTCGTGCTCGACGGAACCGCCGGCGAGGAAGCCGGGCGCGTAGCGCAGCGTCGTGCCCGTCTCGTTGATCTCGATGCGCGAGCCGCTCGTGAGCTTGTCCATGAGCCGCACGAACGACGCCTCCTCCTTGCGCAGGCCGGGCGACTCGTCGTCGGCGCGGATGCCGCCGATCTCCAGCTTCTTCCGCGCGAGCGTCGCGAGCACGAGGCGCGACCGCAGGTCCTTGGCGCCGCGGAGCTTGATGACATCGGAGTTCAAGCTCTCCTTATGCTTCTTTTGCTGCGGCCGCGGCGCAGCAGCCGCGCCGGCGGCAGTGGTGCGCTTGCCCATCGCTCGATTCCGCCTCGGCCGATCGGTGTCGACCCTGCCGGCCAGGTGCCGTCAACGGTCTCGGAGCGTCACACGGCGCCGAGCCGACGCCCCCGTGCCCCCCAGACGACCCATAACCGCCCCCCCGACGCCCGCGGAGTAGCGCTATGGGGCAGTTCGACGAGTTTCATCGCGCCCTCGAGGCGAGACGACGGCTCAAAGAGCCTGAGAATAACCCGCTCTTCCTCTGCTTCCTGCTCATATTCTTCATGTGCGCCATCGCCGGCGGTCTCTGGGTTTGGCGACGGCGTCGCCAAACAAACAAAGCAATGCGCCGCGATGCCGCCGCGATGCCGCCGCGCGCGCGCGCGATTCGCTCGATGCGCTCGTTTTCGCGACGAATTCGCGAGACGGTCGGACGCGTCGCGCGCGAGCCCCCCCCCCCCAAACCGTCACGCGGCGCGTCGCACACGAGCCCTTCTCCCGAAACCGTCCCACATCGAGTAGGCGATGATCGGTCCCACGTGCCGCGAGGCGCTGCGGCGGAGCCGGCCCGCGGCGGCCGTGCGGAACCACAAGCTCTTCAGCCCGCGGAACGAGGGCGCGGAGACGGTGGAGCCCGGCGGCTACGCGCGGACTTCCGTGCTGACGCCGCCGCGGAGCCGGTCGTCCGTGACGCCGAGCCGCGACCGCGACGCGCCCACGAACCCCATGCACCCGCCGTCCGCGCTGAGCCCGTGACGTCGGACGATATACTTTAGCGCAGGCCGGGGCCGAGGCGCGGCTCGGAGCGGCCGAGGCTGGCGAGGACGCCGTTGCCGCCGAAGGGGTCGAGCGCGATCTTGAGCCAGTGGTGCTGCGTCCGCGCGGCCGCGAGCTGGTCCGCCTTGAGCTGCGAAACGTCGGCGAGCTTCAGGAGCGCGGCGTAGGCCGCGCCGGCCTTGTCGAGGTCCTTGCGCCGCGCGACGAGGTCGAAGGGCGGCTCGCCCTCGACCGGGCCCAGCTCGAGGGCCCGCGCGTTCGCGATCGCCGCGCAGACCGCGTTGTGCGCGCAGAGGCGCCCGAGGGCGTGCATGCGGTGGGCGGCGGCGTAGGCGTCGTTGCGGATCATCGCCGCCGCCGTGTTGCCCGCGAGCGCGTCCGCGTAGGCCGACGCGTAGCGCGCGTCTAACGGCGCCATCTCGTGCGCGTCCGCGTAGGCCGCGAGCGCGCCGTCCAGATCGCCCCGGGTCTGGCGGATGGCGCCGAGGGCGTGGATCGCCGCCGCCGCCTCGCGTTTCAGGTCCCCGGGCGCCGGGCCGTCGACGCGGTCGGGGAGGCGCGCGTCGTCGACCGCGCGGCCGCAGGCGACGGCCGCGGCGTCGTAGGCGTCGGCGGTCTCGAAGCGCGCGAGGCCGCCGCAGAGCATGCGCCACCAGTGGGTCCGGAGCCCGCGCCTGCTCGTGACCCCGCATTTGGCCGCGAGGTCCGCGACGGCGGATTCGGCGTCCGCGTGTCCCTCGAACGTGGACGCGAAGGCGGACCCCGAGGTCTCGAAGGTCGTCCGGCAGGCGAGGGACGTCCGCGGCCGGAGGGGCGGGGCCGGCGCGAGGCCCGCGCGGCGGAGCCCCGCGGCTAGAGCGCAGCCGACGACGGCGACGGCGGCCGCGCCGCGCGCGAGGCCCGCGCGGGTCCGGCCCGACGAGCGCGCCCGATCGGAGAGGGCCTCGGCGAGGGCCGCGTCGTCCCGGCGGCCCTGGGCGGCCGCGCGCGACG